CGTCCCGGCCCTGCCGCCCGCCCCTCGTAGGGAGCCTCTTGCGGGCTGTCCCTGATGCTGTGTGCACAGGGCCTGGAACGTGTAAACCCTAAGCGTGGGCTGCTGCTCTGAAGGGATTGAGAAACTCTGTCCCCGAAGATGCACGGGGCAAGTTTGAGTGGCACGTGATGCAGCAGAGTGGTGACACCACGACAAAGCAGCTGGGAGCCTGGGGTGTGCCGAGCCTGGAGCCCTTGTGTCGCTTGCACTCTGCAGATGGCATGACTGAGAGCAGCACCTTGTGCTCCCTTGGGCTGCAGTCCACGCCCCAGCAGTATGGCCTGGGGGAGGGAGGAGGAAAACCCAATTCTGAAACTCCTGCTCGTTTGTCCTTCAGAGAGTAGAGTTTCTTTGCTCAGAATTCATGTGGGGCTGCACTGCTGGAGTTAGGCTTATGTGGGTATGAGTAGTCATGCAGCAAAGTTAGGACCAAAATTCCTGTGTCCTGACAAGTGTGGCATTTACTCACGTTGTGTCATGGGGACTCGGGAAGTGTGGGCACTACTCTGTGCTTTGCTGGTTGTTCTCCCAAAAGCTCCTTTGGGGGTCCTGTGAGTAAGGGGAGGCAATTTGAGGGAGAAGAATGTGTGACAGATTTCTTAAAAGTGTGAATAATTCTGTAGTAAAGGCAGGTGGGCAGCCAGCCTTTTTAACAGCAGTAGAGAGATGCTCATCTGAGCTGTCTTCACTTACCTGGTTCGAGAGTTCTCCAGGCTTACCTGGCAGGGTCTTGTTTGGAAGGAGAGAAACCGGGTTTAGGGAAGTTTCTCACGTTTTGGGAAATCTCTGAGTGAGAAACGAGGCTTGTGCCAGCAAAGCTGCAGGTAGCTCTGTGCTGCCTTGTGATGCAAACATGCCTTTGTCTCCAGGTCAGATTTCTCTTAAGCCTGAACTCTGTCATTATTAGACATGCTTTTCTGGTGTAGCTTTATCAGGAAGGCCCAGAGCCACTGCTGCTCTTTGTTCTGTGAACAACTAGCCTAGGTCAGTGGTTCTTGACTTTTTTTTTATGGTTGAGCCACAGCTGCCCACCTTCTCTTCCTTCTTGTTTGTGTCATTCTTCCTGCCCCAGCTTCCCCCAGCATGGTTGCTGCTATCTGGGCACCTTGCTGGTTGGTTCCTGGTCACGCAGGTCAGGGCCAGAAACAGAATCTGAGCTTGTGGCTTTCCACCATTGTCCTGTTCTTGAGACCTCAGTACTTCTAAAACTAGTAAAGATACATTTGTGGGCAGCATTAAGGTATGGGAGTGTGGCTAGTTCTCTGAATTCATATGTAATTCCAAAGGCAGAGAGGGACCTTTCTGGGCTTCACCTTGAGCCCCACAGATCACACCTGAGCAGAGCCTCTGGGGTTAACCCAGCACCTGCTCTGCAGCTCATTTCCTTTGACTTCACACAGGCATTGTCCTCTCCGTAGCTTAATTTTGTGGTGGTGCACTGGGAATAATCCCTCCCTATTTTAGTACAGTGCTGTGAATATGAACATATAGAATGGCTTTAGGTGTTTGAATACTAAAACAGTAAGTGCCATAATTACTTTACAAAAGTTGGGACTTCTGAATACTTAAAATATCAAAAGTAAGTTTTCTTTTAAAGGTATTCAGATCTCTTTTTATCTGCCATTCCTGATTGTGGTCTGGAAAATGAGGTTTGTTTTGCTTCCAAATTGTTAACACATGTACCTATAATGAGTTTCTGATGGTAGCTTGGATCAATAAATATCCTGTTTAATAGCTAATCCTATTCATAAACAGAGTTAAAAAAGACTTAATTCCTCTTTGTGAATCCTGGCCTATTTGTGTGTCATTAATGTAAAGCCAGTTATGTCTTGGTAATGAATAGCTTGTGTATTTTTAACACACAGCCCTTAATCACATTGTTTCCTTTATGAGGAGAGCTGTGAATGGATTGAGTCCCATAGTTCACATTTGTAGTTCGCCCTGGCAGCTGGTCTATAAATAAACCTGCAGTGGCAGAGTAGGGGTTTAGGTATTTGCATTGCATGTACTGTCTTGGGTTTATTTCCTGTGTTTTAATGATGGATGACAGATGCAGTTCAAATCTTTATGGTGCCTGGAGCATGTCTGTTTTGGTCTTTTAGAAGGATAAAGGTGATGTTGGTCCCCACTGTTTGTGCAGATCAGGCTACTGCTATTAAAGTGAAGAATATTTTTCCCTGGTTTATTTTGTGTATTTGACAGCAGACTTTTGGGTAGTAGGCCTCAGCATTTGCTTTGCAACATCCATTGGTTTTCCATGGGGCCTGTTTTTGTGGATGAGTAACTAGCAGAAAGAAGGAAAAGAAATAGCCGAATGGTTATGGAACTACAGGTCTTGGGAATATAGGGAGCAGGTGTCAGTTTCCAAACTTGTGATTAAAAAGGAAAGTAATACTCGATTGCTAGGCAACAGCACTCTTTAAAATTGCCTTCACCCTAGGATGCAGGCAGGGTAGGAATGGTTTTTAGGATATGCACCACTGATAAGACCTTGGTCAGAGCTGTTGCACTGGCCTCTTGAGTGCTCAGACACAGACTTTTTCAGTGCTCCCATGGCCGTGTTAGTAGTGCAGATTCATGCAGACCATTCTTGTGAAGCCTATTGGTGTTTGTGCTATAATGAAAGAGATCCTTTTCTTGTCCAAATCTCTTTGGAGATACTGTCACCACATAAGCCTGGGTTGGCAGTGAAAGGAGAAGTCCCAGTCTTGTGTTTTGCCACCAACATTCACGTGGCCACAGGTTGAGTTGGATCAGGGAACTGATCTAGCTGAAAACTGTCTGATTTACATAAGTGCTAAAGCATAAGGGAGGTGCTGGAAATGTGTGATGGGGGGACACAGGTCTTCCTTTCTTCGTACTGTGTGCCCCGATGTTCATTCAAAGTGAGTACATAATCCTGCTCTCCTTATCTGGAAGATGCCCTTGGTTTATATCAGTTCCCTGAGGTGATCTGCTCATGTGTTTGCACACATTTGACGAAAATACTGTATGCAGCCCAATTCTGTTAGCTGGGATGAAGTTTTCCATAATTTCTCCATTCAAAACCAACTAAAAATTGCAGTAAATATAAGTTAGCTCTTTAATATCAAGAAAAAATAGTGAAGGTGATAGCTTTAGCGCTTCAAAATGGTGCAGTGGATAAATAACTTCCAGAGGTTTATAACTGGTGAGGAGTTCTTTGTTGTGCAGTATTGGAATTTGATGTCAGTCTGTTGCATTTAATGTGGTAAGACTGAAGGGCCCTTGAGAAGAGAGTGTTTACCGCAGCAGGTTATTGTGTACTCAGACTTATTCAATGAAGTAGAAATTGGGTCATTTTAGTGAATATTTGGTTGACAAATTCTTCACCCCTTTCTGAATCTTACTCTGAGCTCTTGTCTGAGGTCTGTGCTAACTTTTAACAAATATATGGAGAGGGGCCAAGTGTCTCTGTGATGCTGATTTAAAAAAATTAGTCTAACTGTGAGACAGAGCCACTGCAGCAGGGTAGGAACTGGGAGAGAGGTTTCTCTGCACAGTTCTTTATCGCTGCTTTGGTGCAGCTATGAGTGGTCAATGTTGTATCAATCTTTGTGTTAGGCCTCTCATTTGAGGATAGTGTCCATTTAAATACTGCCTTTGTCTAGCATGAACAACTTGGGAATTAATCCTGCTTGAGCAGGAGATTGGACTAGGTGACCTCCAAAAGTCTCTTCCAAGATAAATCCTTGGTCTGGGATGTATTAGTGACTAAGTACTAAGCAGTGGTGGTGTTTTGCCTGTCCCAGGGTGTTGTGGGCTGCACTCCTGTATCACTTGGGCAATACTGGCAGGGGCAATACTTCCAGGCAAGACTACTGGGAATTCTTGCAAATTTTGCTGTGCTTGAAGGTTAAAGTGTTACTCTTCCCATACACCCCTGAGCACTGAAACCTGATGACCTGGGGAGAGCCACCTTCAGAAGCATACTCGAGTCACATGCATTCCCTGTGCCTGTGCTAAGTGCAGCCTCTGAGCCTTTTTAAGGCCTACTGGTGTGAGGCAACATGTGCACTGGGAAGGAGAAAAGTGCCAGGAGCGCTGGGGCTGATGGCTGTCATCAATTTATGGAGGCTCTTTAATTTTGGCACCACCTCGGAGTGTTCGTGTGGCAGCACTGAGTGTGACAGAGTGAAGGGCCTCTGTGCCCTTTGGAGTTTAGTTATTTAGTAATTAGCCACTTCACAGAGGGGAAAACTGAGGGCAGGGGAGATCAAGGTCACAGCCACAAGACGGAGCAAGTTGGGACTGGGTCTGGTTGAGGAGCACCTGGAGACAGACCCGAACTATTGGCTGTTCGGTTCTAGAAAGGAAACTGGCATGTTATGATAGCTGAAGTTATGACTCATTCTTTGTGAACCCACTTGCACCTTTGAATGCTGTACTCCATGCCACAGATGCATTTTTCTCTTCCCTCCACCCTGAACCTTCCTGCTAATTGGAAGCATCCCCCCTGTTTACTAAGTTCCTAACAGGATGCTTCATACCAAATAATCAATCATGTGAAGTTTCTTAGCTTGTGACACATCCTAACGTGCCGAGAAATAATTCTTAGCTAAGAAAGGGGTACTGAGTCATCTGGAAAAATAAACAGTCCTTAGACATTTAATGCTCTTGATGCTTCTGCTGGTAGTTTTGTAACTTCAAACCTTCACTGCTGCCATAGGGTAGAAAAAACCAGTGACTCCACCCAGGAGTGAGTTCAGAGTTTTAGCAGCACTTTAGGACATTTTAGATGTGCCTTTAGCATATCTGGCTATGCTGGTCCTGATGTTGCTGTCCCTTTGACAGCATGTGCCTGTGCGTGCCTTGCCATGAGCCAGCAGACCTCTCCTATTGGTCTTATATAGTGGAGAGGATGAGCAGACCCATCCTCTCCAGCCACTAAGGCCACCTTGCCTGCCAGGAAAATAGAGACAGGTGACAGTAGCAGCTGGACTCCCCAAGAAGCATCCATCAAGGACACCAGAGAGGCTGACTTGCTGCTGCTTGTTTGGGTTTTGTATGGGGATCCAAATACTCAGTGTGATTCTCGAGGAAGTAGGAGCAGTATTACCTTCTGGATTTGAATTTCATATGGGGAGACAGTACACCCAAGAGCAGAACAAGACAAAGGCAGACTGTGGGCTTAAGCAAGTCAACAGAGTTGAATTTACTCAGAAATCCAAGCAGCAGCAAGGCCGAGGTATTGTACCTTGGTTGGCAGAAGAGCTCTAAATGCCCCAGGGCCTTGCTGTCATTAGGATCATGCAGCTAGGTAAAGGAACTGTGGCATAAACACAGCCTTCTTGGAGTCTCATTTCAGAGAGGGGACAGTGTGGGAAAGCTCTGAACTCATTTGGTGATCTACCCCACAGAAAAGTGGCTTTGTTTAGTAAATAAATCTAAGCTTTGGCTGTTGCTGTTCTCTTCCAAACCTGCCTGCATGACAGGCGAGATGGTTTGCCACGTCGTGTGCTTTGCTCAGGAAATGCTGCTCAAAGCTGCTGTGGTGCACATCTCTCATGCTTCTCATCTTGCTCTCAGGTAACACTCGCTCTGTAGAAAAGCTGCCAAGTAAGCAAATGCACTGGAGGAAAAAACAATGAAAGAGGGAGTGAAGATTTAGGCTGGACTTGGTTGTAATAAGAAGAGCTGTGGCATCGTCTGTCACAAGGCTCTGGTTAGTTTCTTCTCTCTAAAGAAGCTAAGCTTTGTTTTTAAAATAAAAGTCAAGAAAGTGGCTTTATGATGTATTCCTATAGTTTGGCCCAAAATTCATCTGAACTGGCAAAGAGAGATATGAGGTCAATGGATTTTTAATGTTTTCTTTAGAAAGGAGAGAAGCAAAGTCTGTGTTGGTTACACTGCCAAGGTCACAGCAGTACTGTCACATGACAGTAGTTACAGTCAGGTGGAAAGTCTTAGCTGTACCTGAGCTGGCCTGAAAGAGGACTGGCTTTAGATCTATGTTTTCTCCATTCACTTGCATCTGCCAGCATAACCACCTGGGTCACTGCTTCATAATGATGTCTGGGAAAGTGATCCAGGTTCAGATAAGCCTTTGTGACTGTGCATGCAAGCTGGTCCCCGTCAGTCTGACAGAATGAGGTTAGGGAACTGCTGTAGATGTAGTCAGGTGTAGTCAGGGTGTGGTACTCAGTCGGAGGTTACCCCTGTAACCCAACTCAGCTGCATTTGGGGGTGGTGTTTCACTCTGGGTTGAGTGAGCACTATAAAGTTACAGGGAACTGTTCCCCCAGGCAGTCTGAACAGGGCAAGATTGGCAGCAGTGACGCTGTGGTCTGCAAAGACAGCCTGCTAAACACCTTTATATGCTAAGAGGGAGCATGCCCTCACCAGCAGAGCTCTGACTTGCTTCTTGTCTGGCAAATGTTTTTTTAAAGCTCTGATGCCAGTCTGCAGAGTATCTCAGGATTTTTGCTTGGTTTTGTAGGTAACCCTGGTAGCATTTACATGTAATCTTGATGGCTTTTACTGGACACCACAGCCACTAAACTAGTTTACATCTGAAATTCTAAACCTGCTTCTTACATGATTCACAGTGCACACAGAAGGGCCCTTACCTTTGTGCATAGGAAACTGCAATGCAGTAATACTGAATCCAGCTTTGTAGTATACATGTCTGAATTACACTGCCTCCTGAAGTCAGGCAGAGGTTGTAGATCTGCTTTGTAGCATGCTGTGAGCGCTGCTACCACTCTCTGCTGTGGATTGCAGCCTTTAAATAAGTGCTGAGGCTCTGGTGTGTGATCCACATAAAGGAAAGGAAGCAAACCAAATTCCATCCATTTTCCAGAGTTCATAATTCTCTTCTTTCTTATGCAGGTTTGTTACCAGAATCCACATGGCTCTCTTGAATAGACGATTGGTTTTATCCTTAACCCATCTAAGCAGTGCGGTGCTCCAACGACAGTTCAGGTAATCTTCAGATTTTGCTTTTGTTTTCTTCAGAGCATTTCCTGTTTGAAAGAGATGCTATTAAGTAGGTCAAGCATAAGATACAGTGTTTGTAATTCAAATGAATAATATAATAAATAAACAAAAAATCTCAGAGTTGTCCCTTCACTTGAAGGTTGAAAAGTAGGCCCAAACACTACTTTTACAGATTCTTGGCAGTCTGAACTGTGCATTTTCATATGTAGGGAGGCTTTTAAGCATTTGAGAGCAATGCATGGGCCTGCAAGCAGAAGTTGAAAGTGTCTGTGTTTCTGATGGACATGCAAAAAAGCCAGCTCCTGCTGATGCAGACCCAATTACATCCTTAAAATTATTCAAGAGTTTATCATTACAGTTATTTAGAACAAAAATAATCAGAAAAATTACTTTCTCATACTTTAACAGTGTCTATTTTGTTATTTTTCTTTAGTTTCTTGTTCCAGGCCCAAGGCATTTAAAGCTTCTTAAATTTATGGACTTCATATTTTACAATACCTTGTACAAAGCTTAGAGCCTAATCCCACAATACACTCATCTCTAGCATGTAACTCTTTGAAGGATGAGGACTTCAGTTTAAAGGATGAGCATAGTAATTCCTGTGACTGTGGTCTAGAGAGGGGATTAAGACAATGCTCAGGGCTAGGTTATGTGATAGTCCCAGGAACTAACTCGAGGAGGTGACCAAGTCTTCCTGGCTTTCTCTGTAAGTGGGCTGCATGAGAGCATTGGCCAGTAGACATTTAAAACATATATAAAAGACAGCAAGACTGAGGCGAAGTCCAGTCCATAGAGATAAGCAGGACTTCAACATTCTTAATGGGGAAGCCTTTCTTTTGGGGTGGAGTTTTGCTCCAAAACCATGGCAAAGATGAAGAAAGAAGAAAAAGAAAAAGTACTCCTAGTGCAGGTACTCTGCATAGCTCTTTGCTACTTCTGTGTAGCAAAGTGTGACACTCAGTCCCATCTAGGTTTTCCCTTCTCCTTCCTGTGACAACACTTCTCCCTTTACAGCCTCCTCCCTTCTGTCTCCCCTGCTGTGCAGCCACAGACAGCAGGCAGAGGAGAGTGTGGTATACCACAGTCCCTGCCAGTGGTTGGAATGGGAGGGAGTGGCTGCTTGCAGAGGTGAGTGACTTTTGAGAGAGACAGGAAAGCAGGGGTATGCCTCTGCTGCAGAAAACAGATCTTGTAAAGGCAGCGCTTGACCTCTGGAGCAGTTAGACTAACACAAACTGACTCAGCTGGCCTTCCCTCACTGTGTGTAAAAATATCTGCTTCAACTCATGTCCATCCACACTAGGTTTGGTGCTTGTCTTCTAGGCAGCTTTGCAAATACAGGCCCTTCATCTTGCGGAAGGGATGATGGTCCCTATTAGTCTTTATTTACTGTACAAGCTTCTGCTCTGAAAAACAAGGTGAATGATTAGGTTGATTCCATATGCTGTCTCCTGAGTAGTTCAGTTGACAGCAGTTTGGCATTCCTGCAGCTCTGGCCAGCATGTTTCTATACCTTAATGCAAAGCAGTTGTTTAGCAGTAGAAAGGATTTTTCTGCTTTTCCAATGGTCTGTGTTTGGGTGTCCTTTGAAAAGAAGCAACAAATCACTTAAGTTTGAGCTCACTGAATAAAAGAATAGTGGTTTCTGTAAGGGAGTTTATTCCTGCTGTTCTCAAGCATATTCTGAGTCAGATCTAACTATTTAATATTGTGCAGTTTATTTCTGTTGTTCCTTGCTTCTGATAATCCCACAGAGCAAACAGATACAGAAGAGACTGTATCTTTCTGGATTCCTCCCACATGGGGAAGGTGATGATCTCTTAGATTCTAGTTGGTGACAGCTTAGCTCAGCCACAGCAGGTCCTCAGAGATCTTACTGAGAGCAGAATAAAATGGGAGACCCTCACAGACTTCACTGAAAAGAAGATTGGTCATAAAAGTCCTTATTGCTGGGGAATGTGTACAAGATTGAAAGAGCCTGACTTGAGTCTTAGCTTCTTGCAGGCTGTTTGTAACAGAAGCAAGCACATTTTTTTGCTTGTAAATTGAAGTTGAATCATCTGCAGTTGCTAAAGAGCCCATGAAATGCAAGCCACTCTTCACGCCATCTTTTAGTCGTGTTTCAGAGGAGAACGGTCGTTTTATGTTTGACATTTAGTGACGAGTGTGCAAAGCCCAAAGTAGCATCTGGCTTTCAAAGAGCACATTGAATGCAGTCAATGTGTCAGCCATATGGTATGTATTTATTGCTGGCGCCTTCCGAGTGGTTTGTGTAATGACAAGATTCTGTGCCGAGTTTGCCCTTTCTCCTCAAGGATTATTGAGGAGATCTGTCTCTCATTCTTTCCTGTCTTATGCTAGTACCACTGGAGCATGCCGAGCAATACAGAAACTCACCCGCGTGCGAGTGGTGGACAACAGCGCCTTGGGGAACACGTCCTACCACCGGCCACCAAAATGTATCCACGTGTATAACAAGACCGGAGTTGGCAAAGTAGGAGATAAAATCCTCCTGGCTATCAAAGGAGAAAAGAAGAAAGCTTTAATTGTAGGGCACAAGATGCCTGGCCCCACCATGACGCCTAGATTTGATTCCAACAATGTGGTACTCATAGAAGATAACGGAAATCCAATCGGGACTAGGATAAAAACCCCAATACCCTATATCCTGCGACGGAAGGAAGGCGAGTTCTCCAAAGTATTGGCCATTGCCCGCAACTTTGTGTGAAAGCTAAGAGAGTTCTTTAGCAATCCTGTTATATCCTTTCATACAGTAGATGTTATTTGGTCCTTCTTTACAAACTGATGAAACATGAAAAAGTTGAGGTTCATCAAGAGTCTCTCCTTCTATTTAAGAATTACAAGCAACTAGTTTAAATGTTGAAACAGTTTCTTTTTCTCCAAAAGAAGGTTGATTTATTTCACAGAACATCTGCAGTTTGTTTGGGAAATGGTCCTTCACCTTTACTGTTCCTGTGGTGTTAATTTGCTCTGTCATCATTAAAATGAGAACATGAAAATCCTTGTTCTGTACTGCTTATGCTCTCTTTTCCCTATTTTTGCCTTTCGCAGTTCCCCACGAGCAAGACACAAAGTTCAGTCCCTGGTCCAGTGACACTGGGGTCTACAAAATGGATTCACAAGTAATAGAGTAGGAGAGATACAAAATGAACTATTGGTGCCTTGGGGACATTCAATAAGATTAGTTTCTCTGTTTTTTCCTAAGAAAAGTATTTAGGAGGAATCAGAATCAGGAGAACATGGTGGCCTACAACTTCAGCAGCGTGTGGCTGAACAGGGCATGCAGAGCTAGGAAGGGGAGCTGAATGGGGTGGGTTTGAGATGCAGCCTGTGCTCTCCACCTGACCAACCTCTGAAAATTGTGTTCTCCAATTAATGCAAGGGCTGAGTTCAGATTGAAAGGTCCACAGAAAGAACCTTCCTTTTGTATTCCTTTTTGGGACAGTTGTCAGACATTGTCTGTGATGTTATTTGGTGAGACTGGCTGTTGTCCAGCTTCTTAAGCTCAGGTACAACAGCAGGCAAATGCTAGTGTTGCTTTCAGGGCCAGCTGTGATCCAGGAGCCAAACAACTATGTTACTGTGGAGCTGAGCAGAGAAACTTCGTGCTCATGGCCGGTAAAGGGACATTGGGGCAGAGCAGTCCTTGATAGAGCAGTGCTGGGGAAGAGGGTGCAGGGGGTGCAGTCAGCAGGAGTCTGGCCAGCTTCAGGCCATCGAGCTGACTCCTCACAGGTCTGGTGGCTGTGGTGGCTGGCTCTGCCTTGCCCTTCTCTTCTGCTGGGAAAACTCCTTACCTTGGCACTATGTTGCCCCCAGTGTGAAGATCTGAAGAGTGCAGTGCTGAGCTATTCCACACTCCACGCCAGTTACTCCTTGCAGATGTATCTGCCCCATGCTTCCCAGTGTGAAATCCACATCACTCATGGAAAAGGCAAGTCCTGGATCCCCTTGAACTCCATTATTCCAGGTAATGCACAAAAGATGATACTATAATTTCAGTGTTAACCTTTAAGTTATGGCACTGTCCCACTCAGTAAAACTTCTCTGTGAACTCAGTTCTGTGGGAAAACAGAATTATCTGTAGCACGTTCCTTGTTCGCTGTTGTCCATGGGCCAGGGAACATTGGGTCTGCTGCTCTGAGTCCTCTGAGCCCTGTGGGCATTGCCTTTAAGCCCTCAGCCTGCCTCCTCCATAGGTGTCTGCCCACTGGCATAGCAGCAGAGCAGATGCTCACCTGAAGTCAGTGTTTCCAGCCTATCTGAGTGCAGTCAACTTCCAGAACTGTCCATGCTCAGAGGAGGTGTTTATGCTACTTTTCTAAGTGGGACAGCAAACAAACTCTGCGTGCCAGTCACCACGATAAGCATGACTGGCCTCCCTCCCTTGGGTGGAGTTTGCTTCTGTGTCACAGGGGCATGGCACAGCCTGATGTCTCAGACATTATCCATTGCCTTTTTCCCTGGTTAAATTTGTTCCTGGGTCAGCATGGGATGCTCCTGGTGCTCTTTTTTATTTTTTTGGGATAAACGCTGGCACCAGCAAGGGCTGCAGGGTACTGAATCTTTCTGAGTTTGGCTAAGAGGTGGGAAAGGCAGCATTGTGCCCTACCATCAGTGGATAAATCTTCACAGCCCACTTCAGGTGTGGTTTTTAGCTTTTTCAAAGCTCATCCCAGTAGTAGACTAAAGTATTTTGAGTAGAAAAAGAGTACATGATTTTATGCATTTTTAGGGGAAGTGTTTATGCCACTCAACAGCTCTACAGTCTTGCTTTAGAAAACCTTCTACAACCTTTGAAACTCCTCCAGCCTTGATAAACACATAAACAAATACTTCTATAGTTTATTAATAAACAAATCATAAGCAAATTGAAAGGTCTGTCATGGCCTTCCTGCCTATGACAGATAGAAGGAGCTCAGCCTTCCTCAATGTAAATCCTTTTGAGAACAGAAGAAGAAGATGGCTTCCACTAGCACAGCACTGGAAAGTAGAGTTTCAAATGGCACTTGTATGGGGTATTTGTTTCTGTGCAAAGTCTGTTAGCAGAGTGGAAGTGGGGTCTATCCTAAGCTGGAATACCTCGGTCCCAGCTAGCCTGGTTTATAACACATGTAAAGGGATGCTTTACTGTGAGATTTTTGCTTGGCAATAACTCCACTTTCAAAGCATCTACCAGTAGGACCTGGGGGCCTGTAAACAATCCTTGTTTTTCTTGTCCTGATCATAAGGGCTATGAATCTCTCATGGGATGCACAGATCCTGCTGTTTGGATATTAAACAATTCACAGAATATTTGCTAATAACTTTCCAGCATTTTTCTGAGGAAGAGGTCATGGGGAGAGGGCATGAGAGGAAGTGGGCAAGACAATGCAGCATACTTGAGACTGAAATGTGAAGTGATGCTTTAGTTCTAAGTAAACTGATATGTGGAACTAAATCCTTAATCTCAGAGCTTAATAAGCAGACATGCAGACAGCTAAGCTAAGCATATCCTGTAGCGCGTCTCCTGCAGTTTTTACCTGTCTTGCCTCATGAGGAACATAACCTCAGCAGAAATCCCTGGCCTGTGCTTGGCACAGAGCCACAGCTCTGTGCTTGGCAAATTCCAGGCGCTGCCTGTGGCAGTATCTCTCTGAGGGGAAAGGGTCAGTCTTGTGGATGAGCCCTTAGCCTGCTCCCACCCGTCCCACTGACTTTGGCTCCACCAGGGCTGTGAGACAGTCAAGCCCCTGACTGTTCCAGTACTGCTCCAGTGCTGCTCTTACTGCAGAGCCTGTGCAGGCAGGGGCAGGTGGATGGGGCCTTGCCAGCAGCCCAGGCTGATGTGGGTTTTCCAGGCTCTCTCTCTTTTTCTTTGAGCAGGTCCTGCTCAAGACTCCTCAGTTCCAGATTCTCTCTTTTGTTTAGGCCTAGGGGATGATAACCATTTGCTCTCAACTTCCAGGCTACCCTCTGCTCTTCTCCAGATGTGCCCGTGCTGCCTTCTGAGCAGTGAGGCAGTGATGCAGCTGCTGGGTTTCCTGGGCTTTGGCTTGTGGCATCCTTCTTTGGGATCTGCCTGAAGCCCAAATAGGAGGTTTTTCCTTGTGCATCCATCCTACCAGGAAAGCAGATGTGATTTCCTCTGCATAGCAGTTCTTCCTGCAGGTCCTTTTATTAAAGGATGGCTGCAGGCAGGTGGGATGGTTCCCTCAGAAGAGGGAAAACAAACCAAAACAATACCTGTCTCAGCTGCTGCCAGAATGTCATTCTCTCCCCTGTTCCCTGTTTATGTTTATTATTCTGCCATTAACATGATTTTATATGTTAAATGGAAACATTTCTCTGTGTGAGACAGGGTTAGGGGGAATTCCCTCATCTGAGCAGCCTCTGGGGGAGCTGCCACCCACTGCAGAGGGATGGGGAAGCCAAAGGCAGAGTCCTCCTAGGCTCTTCTTGCCCCACTGCAAATGTGCCTCCCTGGTCAGCTTTGACTGGGTCCCTGGGTTAGTGTCTATTCGGATATGGGGTTTGCATCAGCTGAAGCTCCCCAGAGGGTGCCTGTTCATCTGGTGATGGTGGGGACTTTGTGTCCAGACATTCTTCCATGGGGGTTGGGGAAGAGGGATCTTTTCTTAGAGCATCCTGCATGGGTAGGGAGAGATAGCCTTTGGGGACATGCTTGCCCAGAAAAGAGTTGTGATGAGGCTCTCTGGTGAGGACTGGGGTCTGGAAAGAGACAGGCAAGCACTGGGGATTAACTGGCTGTGAGAAGGGGTGTCCCTGAAAGGAAGTGGGTGAGACAGATTATCGTGGAAGGATGCAGCAGGGAGCTGATGTCTTCCATCTGCTTGGAGACCATGACTGGGAGACAGGCAGCCCTGTCTCATGGCCCTGTGCCAGCTGTGTGGATCGACCCCACAGCTGGGGGAGGCAACCAGTGACTTTGGGGGCTGGGAAAAAGGGGAGATAGCTGAAACCCCAGCCGAAGTGGGGGTGATGCAGCCAGAAACAGGGCTTTGGTTTAAAGCGAGCATCACTGGGTTGGCAACGGCGAGGGCGGCGAGCTGCACATCCCAGAACAGGAGGCTAGATGGCAATGTGGGTGTGATGGTGTACCCAGCAGCCTGCCCTCATGGCCCCCGCCGCTCGGTGGGCCCCTAAGCCTGACTGACGCGCCGAGACAAAATCTCCCTTCGTCAGCATGTTCCCCAGCCTCCGACCCACAGCAGGGCAGCGGAGCCACGGCTGGAGAGGAGGAAGATGGAGACTTTGGGGTGTCTGAGCCTGACCTCATCCCTTGGGAAAGCCAGGGGCTCTGACTGAGGTTGAACCTTGTCTCTGGAGGGTTGTTGAGCTACCGGCAGTGTCAGGGTCACATCTGGGTCACTGTTTTAGTGAGGGTAAGCTGGGCTAGGAAAATTACTGGTAAGATGGGTCTGCAAGCAGCACTGTGACTCCTATGGGGCTGGTAGCTGCCTGTGTTGGGCAGAGGAGGGACATGATACCCTGCCCAGCTGGCTCATGGATTGCTGCAAAACAGGGGGGAGAGATGGGCAGCAGGGAGGCACAGCCTGGCTCTCCTGGGAGCCCCGAGCTGGGCCACTCTTCTGATGCAAAGCAACCCCTCAAAATGCATTGTCACCCCTTGCCAGGGCCTTTCACCTAGAGCAGATGCCAAATCCCCTTCCCTGAGGGAAAGGCATGCCAAGCCTCAGGTATGCAGGCTGAGCAGCATTTTCCAGCTGCTAACAGAGGCAGCAGCAGGACCCTGCCAAGCCCTTCTGATAGACAACTGAGGGCTGTCATTTTTTTAGCTGTCTGCTTCTCATCTGGACTTGGCTGTGCTGTTTAGGATCAGCATGAACCAGGGAGAGCAAAGAGGACAGGGAAACAGCTGGACCTGGGGTCTTACTTGTTTATATCTTGCAGCTACTGTTCAAGATAGACAAGGGCAGGGGAGGAGTGTCCATCAGGGAGACTGTATGGGCTAGACACTTGTACCGGGAAACCCAGAGG